AAATTGAATTGAATAGGCCAAATGAACATGATACTTTCACTAAGATAAAATGGTAAAATATGTGAGAAATTCATTCTTAAAGATTGTCTGCTCGACCACTAACTCTCAGACAAAAACTGGAAGCACATTGTGAGAGTAAGCCTGTATCAGTAAGCCTGGCTGTCGGTTGCATGACAGATGGCTTTCTCCAACACTACATGATGCCTTCAGCCTCTCACTCACCAAACATGCTGGTCAACTCTTTAGCCCTCTCACACAAGGCGACAGACGGTTTCTCAGACTGACACCATCACTCATCGTGTGCATCTGCCCTGAATCGTCAGCCTACTTCATCCACTTCACACTGAGCCTATACATAGCCCGGCCTGTGCTCACTTGCCTCAGCTACAAAGACACTGTAAATAGGGCTCAGTGGAATGGCTAATGTTGTTGTCCATGACATTCAAATACTGACTTTGGAGCATTAAGGTGCCTTGACTGCGCCGCACAAGATTTGGCTGTATTCTAAGGTGGCGTAAAAGCATGTGGAGACAACTGCACGAAACATGACGTGTGGCATGACCACAGTGTTGTGTGGTCACTGTCGAGGAGCATGACCACGCATGATAAAGACATCACTGTACAGAGAAATGTGAATCACAGCAGTCTTCTACTACTGTAAATCAAAGCCTTTCTAAAACTTCAGAATAGTTGATGTGATTTCATATTAAAAAAAAAAAAACGAGAAGGAAACTTTTTATGTATTTAAAGGCTCATGGCCCAGCAGCAATAACTCTACAAGTGCCTGGAGCCCACACTGAATCACCGGTCTGTCAAATCAGAGCACAGGCACAGTTATCTATCAAATGGGATTGGATGGTTGGTAAAAAAAAATGTGTTTGGTCCAAGTGGCAGCCTCTAAGGCTGAAAAAATGAAACCAATGATAAATGAAAAAAACAAAACAACAAAAAAACTAAACTGTAGTTCTTTCATAGTCCTCTCGAGGCAGGCTCCAAAAGTGAGTCAATCCCTTCAAATGGCCATGTCAGCATGTCCAACTTAAGGAGTTTTCTGCTTCATAACAAGTGTACTGAGTGATTTTGTTGTTGTAATTCTTCCATTCCGATACTGGTGAGACTTAAAGTCATGGTAGTAGTGGTGGACATTTTGATTGACAGGTATGCCAACAGAGAGAGGTAAGTGGACTGGTTCTTATATAGTACTCTATTTGAGCAGTGAAATCACTTTATTCAACATGCCTCTTTCACAGATGCACTTCTCCTAATGAATGCATCAGGAGCAATTTGGTATCTTGTCCGATGATACATTATCATGCAAACTAGAGCAGCCAGAGATCGAACCATCAACCTTCTCATTTGTACATGATCTGGTGACTTTTGGGAGCTTTGGGTGGTTGGAGACGAGTTCTGGATGCTGTGCTGCCCGGGCCACTTCCGGCTGTTTGATTGTCGCTAAGTGGCTCGTATAAGACTGATAAGAAATGACGAGTTAAATAGTTATTGAGCGCTTAACACATTCATTAGACTGACCTAAATGAACAAAACTGGTAACTACCAAAAACATTTTTTATGTTTCTGTAAAGGTTAATCCAACACTACATGTAAAAACTCTTTAATCAAAAGGAATTTAATAAAGCTAAAATAGAAATGTTGCTGATATCTACATTTTCAAATGTATCGTTTGAACAGAAAGAAACAGATTTTTTAAAATTATATACTAGTTCCATATGTTACAAAGTTACTTTTAGTGGTTGTATGCTGTGCTCAATTAATTTGAGGCTTCTCAGAGAAGTGTACAAGTGCTGGCTCAAATTTGGATGTACAAACTTCAACTTATGTGATTGGCCTGATAAATAACAGTATAATGTTCAGTTTTAAAGAAGTCTCGACAGAGTTCTGAAAATCTTTGTGTTTTCTTGTTTTTATGTCAAGTGGTTTAATACATTTGTTAATGTATTGTAATGTACAACTTTGACTGAGGTGAAATTTTAAAAGACAGTATAGCAAATGCTGGATCTGCCTTCCATTCTGTATCTGAAAGCTCTTTGCCTTTCTTCACACACAACTCACAGATTTCTGTTGTCAGGTCCATAACCTTTCTAAAACTTTGCAATGTGCTCTCCACAAATTAAGCACATGGCTTTACCTCTGACTTCAGTGAAGTGACTTAAATGTTTTGTGAGAAGAAAGGCAAAGAGCTTTCAGATACAGAATGGAAGGCAGACCTTGCTGTTGCTGTACTGTCTTTAGAATTTTCACCTCAATCATTGACGTTAATCCATTTGTTCAAGCACAGATTAACCTTTTCTCACTAAAGAAGGAACAAGAACTAAAGATGAAGTAACTTCAAGTGAAAATGCAATACCAAGTTGAATAAAGTTGAAAGTCTTTGAAAGTTTGTGAAAGCATACACATTTTATTCAGAACTGCTTTTGCGAATGTTGCTGTAATATGATAGAATGTTGGCATTTTTTACCACAAATATTTTGTCTTCTCATTCCTTAATTGCAACATCTACTCTTACCAGTAACAGTTTATAAAGAGATAAAATTAATGTTGAGTAGAATTGATTTCAGCTTAGCGGTCCTGATTTCTGATGTGGCCCCTTGGGGAAATGAATTGCCCACACCTGCACTGTACTTTTATACACAGCCCATCCATCCAATTATCCATCCATGTTCTTCTGCTGATTCAAACATGAATAAATCTTTCATCCTATCTGAGGAAACTTGGGATGTCACAAAAAGGAAGCACTAAAACATCCCAAGGAAAGAAAAAAAAAAACCTTAAAAACATTAAATTGGGAGAAAAAAACATGAGAAACCATAAAGTCAAGGAGACATATCAATTTGGATACAAGTATATATTTCATATGATAAAAATGTATATTAGATGAAATGTGTGCGGTCTGACATGAGTGTAAACCAAGAAAAACAGCATAACATATAGATCACAGAGCTTTACTATAAGCCAGTGCAAGGACAGCCATTCAACACAAAGCTGAAAGCACAAGTGTTCTGTAATCATTTCCCCAACTTAAATACAGCCTTTTTCTAAAAGTGTGTTGCTGGTAGAAGCCAATAAGGCCCAGCCCACCGCCAGCCCCAGGGCGGCTCCGTTGTGGCTATAACAGTGGCAACGGCTGGACAGTTGAGGTGGTTGCCAAGAAGCCATGCCTCTACTTTAAGGGCAACACCTCAGCTGGGTGCAGCTACGGAGGACAGAGAGAGAGAGAGGCAGAGAGGAAAAAAAGGACAAAAATATCCATAAAGTTGGCTCTATAATTGGCTGTGCCTCTTTGCCTTTTTTATGTGAGAGCACAGCCCAGTCAAGAACAGTAGAAGCTGCCTCGTCCCCAAGTGAAACCCTACACTTTCCCCCTTTGCAGTTCCCTCCCACCTTGTCCACTCATCCACAAGGTTGCTGAAGCTCACCTCACTTTTTAACAACACTCTGCACTGGATTGTCTCCCTGGATTATATTATAATCCCTTCGTGAGTTCTGATGCCTGCAGGGGTGACAGTTTGGATTATTATCAAGTGATAATGATGCTTTCCCAGTGCTGATTCAGGGTGTGAGCGCTGGAGGCAAGGACAGAAAGAGAGACACCTCCAGCGACACTGACTGAGTGACAGGCCAGGTAAGGGGAAAAAAGTCATGAAGTCTTCCATGTATTACTGTGTATTCTGCTTCCTTAAAACACCTCTGAAATGCTTTTTTATTCTTTAGCAGTTCTGAATTATTGGCTTTTTTTGTGTTTATGTGTTGCTCAGATCTGCTATCAGAAAACATACTTTTTTCCCCTCCTCTCCTTTGGTTGCACATAAAAAAAAAGGCCTTTCTCTGTTTTTTGCATTGCGGGAATGATAAACGTGGTGCTTCTGTTATAGACATCTACACTGCAGTCCCAGGTCAACCATCAAGAGACGAAGTGGAAACAGGCCTGGTGATACAGACGTGCTGTTTGTAAGGAATCTGGTCCCAGGTTGGGATGTTGATATCCTGTTTTTAGCTTCACGCCAGATACTGTAGCTACCTAAAACTGCAGATTAATTCAGCTCCACGTTTTATATAATAAGTGATGAAAGAAAGATAAATTATAATCTGTTTGACATACAGAGTAATGAAGATTAGGAGCTTGAAACTAAATGTCATTCAGCTGAGCAGCTGAGATTTTTTGTAGTTTTTTTTCATTGAAGCTCTTTGGGCTGAATTTCTTAGATGTTAAATGCACACTAATTGGACCAATTACAGTAATTTAGCTAAAGTGCCTGTTTTATTCATTAATAGCAACATTGAAACCAAGTAGCAGAAATAGCCCAGTGGAGAATCAGATAAGGGCAATACCATACGCTGAAGAAGTTTGTACAACCCACAGTGAACTTTCTATGACACAGACTACATAGAAGCTAAAGCACAGTCAACAGGCTGTCGAGTCCCACCACAATATTTCCTGACTTTCTGTTTAGATCATTTTGTAATTTAAAATAATATATTCTTACATTTGCTGTAGTTACGTTTACTTAATGCTCTTTCATTATACTTCATTCTCCACTATAGTCCTAAAAAGTCTAGCTAATCCGAATAAATGATTAGCTTGACATTTTGGACAACACCGGTTGTCAGGTTTTCATGCCAAGAACTGAATCAACAGATTGACAGCTTGGAGGTGACTAGCTCTGCCTAGCATAACAACTGGAAACAGATAGCCTAGCTTTATTTAGATGATACAAAATTTACCTACCTGCTCGAAGGATGTTACGGTTAACTTTCTTCCCATTCATTCCTTCATGAAAGTTGCCAAGGCCAGATCAGCTGGTGATCGCCTGGTCACTAGGAAAAAAGTGTATTCCCTAGCAGTTGATGAGTGGCTGCAGGAAGGTGCTTGGCATCACTAAGTGAAACTGGTTCAAAAGATCTATACAAGGTTGAACCGAAAACCTCATTGAAAGTTCGTTGGCTGCTGGCAGATTGCTAGGATCACTGTAGTTTGTATAGAAAATGCTGACCTGTCTGCAAATACTTGTGAAACTGTGACAAGTCTTACACAACCTGGCTACAGAGAATGTTTGCCTTCAAAGTAAAATTTCATTTGTAAGAAACAACTTTTATTTAGCAGCCGAATAGTCTTTGTTTCCAGTTTGCATCACACTTTTTTGAAACTATCACTGAGTGGCAGTATGTGACTAAGGTCTACCTTATAACATAAGCAATCCTAATGTTTTAATGTGCTCAGTGAAGTCCAGCACCCACCACAGAGTGGGTATAGCCACTGTTTGCGTGCATCTTGAAGCCTCAACATTACCATTTTAACTGAGTTTTTTTTTTTGCGTAACAAATTATTTTATTCAGAGATGTGACTGGACTGATAAGTTGCATGCATTTTAGGGCATGTAGAGATGCAACACATAGATGCAGATGCCTGTTAATCAGTGCTACGTACAGTAACAAACTGATATTTACCCACATAAACTGAAGTTATTTCTTGGATTTGTGATGCAAAATCATCACAAGCAGCCAGAGGTTTGGTTCAGTTCAACAACCTCTGTAGTTTTTATGAAGGGACAAACTATCCAAAATGCCCAAAAGATGATGGGTTTTTTTTTGTTTGTTTTTTGTTTGAACCAAACATGTTAATTTCTTCACTGAATTTGGGCATTTCAACATGGGACTCTATGTTGACTCACTGATGGCTACCTGATGGATCAACTAAAGTGTTTGACATTTTGGCTGAACTTTTCAACCCCAGAGATGTTCATTTGTTGCCAACACTTCTCCAGATTGTTGAGACACAAAACCCTCTAAAATAATGTGTTTTAAGCTTCTTTAAAAAAAAAAAAATCAATATCAAGTTTTCTAATGACTGTTAGGAATGTAAAAGGTGAATTACCTGCTCCTTCCGTTATAGGAAAACTACACAGCACTGCTTTAATTGTGGAAGTTAAAAGTTACTATCCACCACCAAAAATGTATCTTTTTCTTTCTGGAAAACATACATTAGAAGCACAATTGAGTGAAAATATCCCAACAGTAAAAGATGGTTTATATTATTGCTTTCCAAGCTGTGCATTACTCAGACTTTCCTCAACTTCCCCCACAAACCCCCTGCAATGAGATCAGGATGAGCCTGTGTTATGGCTACAGTCAGCCACACATCAATCTTAATAGCAGGCAACACAACCACTTGTGTACAATAAGATTAAGAATAGTATTTTGTTTAAAAGACAGGTTCCTCTCAGTGCCACCCAGAGAAAACAGCATAAAAATGATTCAAACAGAGGCAGACTGATGTCTTCTACAACATGATCAAACCTGTAAAAATGGCACTCTAGCAGTTAGATATGTGTTTAAATGCATGTTTTAAAGAGTAAGAAATTACTTTGGTTAACTTTTGCAGTTTATCATCAGAAAACATCACAGACCTGACATTGTCCTTATGTGGTTGGAGTTGATATATATGCAGCAAATTCCAACACTCTTTACCAAGTCCAGTTTTTCTCTGGATGAAGTATTCACTGCTGCTATAAAACAAAAAAGTGTGTATTTTAGTCTTAGGTTTCAATTATCATGTCCTAAGAATGAAAGACATTTCCTTCCAGCTTTCATACCAAAGCGGAGACAGTAAAATACTGGACCATAGTGGAGATGAGATTTTTCTTTTTCTTTGACACATATAAGGTGTCTAATGCAGTTTAAAATGTAGCTATTGGAACGCTAACAATTGCCTTCTTTGTCCAATGATTGTCAAGACTTGTTTGTAAAGAAAATACCGTATTTTCCACACTTTAAGGCGCACTTAAAATCCAATAATTTTCTCAAAAATCAATAGTGCGCCTTATAATCCGGTGCGCCTTGAATTCTGGTCGTGCTTACTGACCTCAAACCGATGAAGTACGTGGCACTCAAAAATCTGTTAAAAAATGTTTTAATATGACTTTGCTAAGATAAAAAGCCACACCGCTTGATGGATTGTCACAGCATTACGGCTACGGTAGTCAGGAGCCTCGCAGACTATTCCAAAACTCCGTCTGCTTCAAGTCACAAAGTCAAATCATCTTTAATAAAATGGTCAATGTTGCTGCTTTACCAGGTGTAACAAAAAGTTTAACATCCAGGCATCCATTAAAACATAATATATCAAATTCTGACGGAGTTAGAAGTTAGCCGGAAGTTAGCTTGCTAGTTTCCACCTAAACAGGATATAGCATGTTCTGACTGAGAGATTTGTGAAAAAATTAAAACATACAGCTCTGCTATCACTTCCAACATAAATGAAGACAGAAAACTAAACAGCAGTGATGTCTGTAGGGTTACTGAAGTTAGGCTAGCTGGTATATAATAATGTGGTACGTGATCGCTAGCGACACAGCTATGTTAGCATAACAAACACAGTGAAGCTGGAGCATGAACGCTAACTTTTCTCCACTCGATAAAAGTTAACGTGAGAGTTCCCGATTGTTAGGGACAAATGCAATTGCATGGCCAAGATTCAGTCAGGAGAACAATTGAGATAATCCATCCACAATATGAGGTTAATTGTTAATATACTGCAACAACATGGGGATAGAGCAGCTGTGATAGAATTCAACATCAATGAATCAATGGTACAGAAGTGGAGGAAGCAAGTTGACTTATCTGACTGCTTTGTTTTACTTAATGCGCTTTATAATCTGGTGTGCCTTATGGTCCGAAAAATACGGTAAATCCCATTTTTTGATTGCATAGGTCTAGCGTTCAGAGGGATTTCTACTTGACCCATCTGGAGTTAGGGTAGATTTTGTTTTTTTGAGCTAGTGTCAATTGGCCACTTTTCAGAAACTATACATTTCATAGATCAATTCAAACACTTCTCAAATAGGCAAGATGCAATATAAATATAAATATAAATGCAATAAATATAAATATATAAATATTTTTAATTAAATTGAATAGAATTGAACTGAATTATGATTTTATTCATCTCTCCACAGACTGAACAACTTGATGGTTATAATAAGCTAAACAAAACAGACTGAAGCCAAGGCTGAGATGGAATTAAGACTGGGATTTAGGATCACCCTGGTCTTGGTCATCCTTGCCTTGACTCTTTCCAGTGAGAAGGTGGAAGCACAAAGAGCAGGTAAGACCATTAGGATTAGAATTTCTTTTGTAATAGCAGCCTTAGAACATTTACTGTATGTGTTAAAATCCTTGCTGAATCTGCCTTCTCTAGGTTGTAAAAACGTCCACTATGACTTGGCTTTTATCCTGGATACCTCATCCAGTGTTGGAAAGGAGAACTTTGAGAAGATTAGGCAATGGGTGTCTAACCTGGTGGAGTCTTTTGATGTAGCACCTGACAAGACAAGAGTAGCCGTGGTTCGCTACAGTGACAGACCAACCACTGAGTTCAACCTAGGGCAACACAAGACCCTGGAAGATGTGAAGCGAGCTGCAAGCAACATACGCTACCTGGGGGGAAATACAATGACTGGGGATGCTATCAACTACACAACCAGCAACATCTTCACAGTGCAGAATGGAGCGAGGCCGGTCGCCAGAGGCATTCAGAAGGTAGCCATTCTTCTCACAGATGGCCGAAGCCAGGATTATGTTTTGGAGCCGTCCAAGAAAGCTGCCAAAGCGGACATCAGGATGTTTGCTGTGGGCATAGGGGAGGCTCTGAAGGAGGAGCTGGAAGAGATTGCAGCGGAGCCAAAGAAGGCCCATGTTTTCCACGTTACAGACTTCAATTCCATTGACAAGATCAGGGACAGGCTGAGGAGGAGGCTGTGTGAGAGTAAGTCAGCCATCGGGACCACTGCCAACAAAACACTCACACTGCATGCCGCATGGCTTCTTTTTGAAGTTATACTTTGAACAGCCTGCCTCAGTTGCAATATGCACTTCATCAAACTGACTCTTATTTTAACCTTTTAACCACTGTGAAAAGAGGAAAGACCCTAACCACAAAACCCCACCCCGACCACACAGAGATGCATATGCACACTGAGCTATCCCGACTTCTTGTGACTGAATATGAAGCCGTTGCAAAAATTAGCTCATAAATGACAGTTTCCCGACCAAGACATATCTGTGGTACAGCTGCCTTTTCGACTGCTGCTATACTGCAGAGGCATTTAGCAGTAAAAAAGCTTGTCTTAGTGTTAACCTCAATGCTTTCTCCACTGGTGTGTTGAGAAAATGTTTCAACATGGACACAAAACAGTTTACACTGCTAACTTAATCAGTTAAAATAGACTTAAAATATTCTATCTTAACAACTTTTTTAGCTTTGTAGCGAAGCAGGGACCCATCCGTTTGCTAGCATTTTTATGGGGATGATGGATGCTTCCCGCGCCAACGCTTAAAATTCCTGCCTAAAATTAGCCAGACTGGAAAGAAAGGGATGCCATGAGTCTTAACCACGAACAAGAAATACTAAAATGGAAATGACATGATTACATGGTTTGCTTAAGGATGAGCAATGACAAAACCTCAACTTTTTTTTTAACCTGGTGCTAACCTGTCAGGCAAAAGCAGTGATTCCTGTCAAGAATGTGATGAGTAAGACTAAAATGCCTTCATTCTTTTTTGAGGGGGTATCATGTTACAAAGTTACATACCCCTTGTGCTTTAAAGGCAGCTTGTAGTTTTGTCTTAAAGCCAGTAACCTCTGACTCTTGACTCATAGGTTTTGAACGAGGCACCCAATAAGATTGTATTTTTAAATCATACTTTATCAACTTCAGCAAGCCAAAGGCTAAATTCAGTCAGGTAAAAAAAGTTTCAGTGTTTTCTTTCTATAATCTCTAAAATCACCACGGGTGAGCCTCCAAGTACATCAGTGGTCAGCAAAACTGGCTGCCTGAGCGATGTGAGTTATTTTCACCAAGAAAATTATAGCTCGAATGTTTCAAGTGGGTCAGCTACAGTGGCTCAAATGTCCATGTTAGATGTTTTCACCTTTTAATCTATAGTGTTAAAAATGGACACTATTTATTCTGTGCTACACTGATTCGACAGAGCATGTGTGGCCTCACCTAAGAACACAAAATCCTAAGATTGCATATTTGACCTTACATGCCCGTTCTCCACATAACAGACAAGGGGCACCCAGATGGTGTTTAAAAATTCACAAGCTATAATAGTGACAGGAAACACAGCTAATAGCAAAAATGAATAATTTACCAGTTTATGGCTGAAAACAGATGCCACATGCAATGCATACATTTTTGATGATACTTCTGTATCAGAGATTCATTCCCAAAGGCAGGTTTTACACTGCTTCCACTTTAACTCACAGCCAAATTATAGCCTTAGGGCCACAAATCTGAGGGTAGCTCAAGTATTTAGCATGCTCAAGTGTCATCACTGTCTTTAAAAAAAAATGAGTGATGTGCTTATATATATTTTATAGAATGGTCATTTTTGGCTGAATTTGGCTTTATGAACAGTATAAGCCAAAGGTCCTATCTAACGTCTAAAAATTTTGTTTTTTAAATTAAGGCACAAGCAGACACAAGCAAAAAACAGTCTCCTCCAGCTTTGCTCCCAATGAAAAATGTCAAGCCCAAATTAAAAACAATGCACAAGAAACTGAAATAATTCCACTACTTGGGGCATGATAAAGTATTCAAGAGCTGACAGGCGCTCATAATCAGTGCAACAGGTTAAAAGCCTTTCTGCAGTGAAGATTTTTACAGCTGTGAATTGGAAAACAAATTGGATTTTTAGCAAATAATAGGGAATTTGGAGTGTCTCACTTGTCAGATAATATATGCAGGATAGCATTCAGGGTTAGACAAATCAATGACATAATAACAGGTTTCATGATATAGTGATTCCAAAGGGTAACATGATTTGGATTTGCTGCTGTTGACTGAAAGTTAACACAAGGGAGCCGATCAGGGTGAGTTTCAAAGAGTGGAGGATACAGATTTGTCTTGATAAAAATGCGGTTTAATTTCAGCAATCAACAGAGTGGAAAGTTTATCGTGGCACTTAGAGCAAAAGAACCACCATAAAAAGGCAAGTCTGCATGTCTAAGTTTACAACTATGCTAGCAGCTCTGAGGCGGTACAATGCATAGCATTGCATTATTTTGAGCCAAATGCTAATGTCAGTTTAAAGTGAGCGTGATATTTCTGTTAACAGATTCTATGTACCCACTTGTGTGGTATATAATGTTTACAATGTTTTGCAATGATGGTCACACTAACAACTGCATTTTGTGAACATTTGCCTGTAAACAATCGTTTAAATTGCCTAAAATCATTACAGAGCCTCCTCCGTGTTTTACAGATAGCTGTAGATGCCCACTGTTGTAGGTGTCCTGACCTCCTTTCCTGACACGTGTACCTTACAACAATTTGAACTGAAGTGTAAAATTAGTTGTTATTAATATCAGCCAGACTTTTGTGTAATTTGACATACCTCATCCTTTTCTTCCTGTTTCCCTTACCTTAAGAATGGGTTCTTGGCAGCCACCCTTTCACTGAGACCACTTTGATGGAGCTTCAGTGAACAGTAGATGGAAGAACTAAAGGACCACACACATCTCCTGACACTGTGTCATGTCTTTGCTGGATTTTTAATTTTGTGTTAAGGATTTCACTATAAGATGCTTTTAAGCTGTGTCGTTAGCCTGTTAGACTTCAAAATTTCCATCAAATAGTTCTTTGGGAATCACATTAATGGTGTGAAAAGGTGTGAAAGAACTCCTTTAAAAACGATAAAAAAAGACTCAAAGACTGGACTAAAAATGAAAATTAGTAATAAAGCAACCGATGTATGATGGAAAACTTTCAAAGTCCTCCAGAAACTATGGCTCAAGACAGCTTTAAAAGTTCTTGGAATAAAAATATAAAGAATAAATGATGGTGGAGTGAGACTTTTGCACAGGACTGTATTTGAATATTTGCACTGATTCTTTTTGTTTTTTGAGTATTCGTATGTTCTGTGAATAGCCAGACATCCAGCTGCATACACTATAGTACAATGAGAAATAAAAAATCAACAATTAAAATGATAAAACAAATCAACATTAAGTTAACAGACGTTATTCCAGCACAATAAGAAATAGCCACCAGCTCTTCATGAACTTAAGTGAGCCCTGAATTCTGTACCTGAGTTGTTCTATTTTGAGGTGTGTCATTATGTCCTCCACCCAGCGTTTATGGGAAGGCAGTGAAGCCTTGTTGACATATTAACATTTGGCTGGGATAAAGTTTGCCGTGTTCACATTTCTTTAGTGTGTCAGCACGCTCACATGTGATTATTAGTGCGTGTGCTTTATGACACAGTTTAGTAAAAAACAAACAAATGAAAAACAAACGTAAACTCACCAGCAAAATCAATATGAATGAGGGTTATCTGTATCCATGGATTAACCAGGAGTGAAGAGATCCTCAGAAACTGCCGGTCACATTAAGCAAACGTTTACATATATGGAACTAGACAGCACCCTTCACAGAAGCTGGCATCCTGACACAGAAAATGTCTCTCCTGCCAACCTGAAGGGTTTGCCTTTCTTGCTGTCACCACTGAGCTGCGCGTGTGTGGAAATATAACACTGTCACCCCACCTACTATAAAAGCCATCTCAGTCGTCATTCGGCCATCCACACGCTTCCCATCCCCAGATATCAAACGGCAGAACTGTCTGCACTGGTGCTCCCCTCATCGCAGATGTGTTTCAATGATCCGACTGCTTCCTTTAACAATATGCCACTTCACATCTCTCACGTCTGACCCCTCAGAACGTTTCCCGCTGATTGCTTCGTCTAATAAAACAGTAACATGTGATTTGATTTTGAACAGGAAGATACAGGGTTACCATATCTTTCTCCCCATGGTCCAATAAGAGCACGAGCGTGTCTAACTGAATTCTTTTTGCTTTCTCCTCAGATGTGCTGTGTCCAAATATGAAGGTTCAACCTGATCGGTTTAAGCCCGGCAGCACCAGTTATGGTCTTGAAGAGGTTCCAGGTATGTGCAAACTGCTGCTTTCCTAACAGCAACATGCAGCACTTGCAATACGTGTCAACCACAAGGTCAGGTCTTTATTTCTGAAAGCATTTCCTACATTTTCCAAAAACATTTATTGCATACTAAGAGTTTGTTCTCACACACAGTTTCTCTCTCTTTCCATGAGAATATAAAGTGAAGTGGTTTAATTCATGACCAGGAGGCTGCTGGCAGCTCTCTAAATATACTTGTGAAAACAAAACACTCGTCTTTTTCAAAATCAAATTTGACAGTGGGCCAATTCAGAGCTTCACCTCATGGTTCGGCTCTCTTTACCAGTATGGTTGAGCTGCTGGTGCGTTGATCTCTTGCTCCAAGATACTTGAACTTACTTTTCTATCTGGGATAGACTCCTCAGCTTTATCTGAAGCGAGGTCACCATCCTTTTCTGGGAGATAACAGTTCTGAAGAGTTTATCCATTTCATCTGCATCAAACTCAAACCTTTCAGATGACCACTTGAGGCGCCACCACTTTATCTGTAGAAAGACGTGACCTCTCAGTACACTCAGTGTTTGTTATTGCAGCTTCACTATTGAAATCCAGGCTATGGGAGTCACAAACAAGAGTCAAGACAAGGCGCTGCTCTTTTTAAGATTAGCAGTGAAGCTGCTGTTTCACTAGCATGTAGCGCTCCATCATTAGATGTTTTTATTCCACACATTCCACGCTGCTGTGTTAAAGGTTCTTCTCTGAGGTCTTGAAAACCATTTACCCACCAGTTATAACAGTGTGTTCTGGGAAATCTCAGTTCCTGTCTGTGTCTCCCACCCACATCCATCACAGTAAGAGAAAAAACAGATGCACAGGCATGAGTGTTTGGACTCGTGCTAAGTCCAGGTTCAAGGAAAAAGAGATGTAAGAGCACCGAAAAGCTATGTTTTTAGAAATGTTCCCTCTTAACATACTTGGCTGGCACAGGGTCCTCTGTTGATTTATTCAGGAAAGACAGACTTTGATTTCTTAAAAAAAAAATTACTTAAAACCCAGACATCCTTCCATCTTTTTTGTATATCTTGTGGTCAGCATCACAACTCTACTGGACCTCACTGCGTACACCCTGAAGAGGCTGCTGAATGACAGCCAAAAACACGTTACTTCTTAAGGACAGTTTATCAAAACTGCATGTCCTTAGACATGTGGGAGGAAAACCACACAGACATAACATGGAAACAGAAAGACACCAGCTGGCAATGAATTCAAATATAACAACATTAATGAAATGAAATAAAAAAACAAAACCAAATATATCTGTTTTGGACAAAAAATAACTGGCTAAGTTTAAGACTTGTGTTTGTTGATGCAACATCTGCAAATCAAAGATGGATGACAATGATTACTATTTAACATAACAGCCCACTTTTTTTTAATTCCCCTCTCGCTCCTGTCGGGCCGTCTTTATCCTTCAAACTCGGGTCTTCTACAAGAGGCCTGTGAGCTCGAGGGTCATGTGCAGTATCTATATTTCCTTTTGCTTCCAAAACAGCTTTAAACCACTGATGGAATGCGTAAGTCAATTACTGGGAGACAGGGTCATTAGTGCTCCTTGATTTAATGTGATGAACAGGACTTTAAATAGTAGTAAAGTTGTAGATAATTGTCAACAACAGACTTTTAAAAGTTCCCAGATGTATTTTTTAGTTTAATAAAAAAGCAACAAACTAACAAAATTCAGATGAGATGAGGAACGTCTCATTAGCTAATAACTTGTGATTGACAATTAACATGCACAGGATAATCCTAAATTTGAAACAGTCCAAAATATTAAATCTTTTAAAATTCAATTTGATTTCAAATTTCGATGAAATGAGTTACTGAACCTGTAAATTCATCAGGCGAGTGTTTGCAGATGTCCCAGCATGGAGCTGTTTTTCTGTAGCATCCATATAGATTGTCAGTCTGCTGGCATCCACAGCTCTCACATTCAGTGATTAAGTGCAACATCAATATGGAGTTGCACACTGAGCTATGATGTGAAGTCTACTTTTTAGACTACATTTATTTCCTGGTGAGAAAAACTATGGTTTAGCTGTTAACTATCCACTACTGGATGCACCAGCGAATGGCAGTGGCATGTAATTGCTGCCTGATTACTCTGTACTTTAACCACATAATCTTATAATCATCGGTTAATTTCTCACAATTATTTGAGAGATCTTCTGTGAAATATTACGAGCTAGTAAAACTGAACTTAAATACTTCAGTGCATATTTGTTTATTGTATTTCGGTTTTGCTAAATGAACAGTATTTCCCCTCATACTGTAGTCAGGTTTTAAGAGTATATATTGGACTAAAGTACAGAACCCTTTGAGAAAGCTTTATCCCTGATGCATCCTCTTAGAGTTGCTAAAAAGTTACGCTGACTTTTTGACTGAAAGAGTGTTTTCATGATTAGACACAGCGTCACTTTCTGCTGTCAGGACACATTATCACATCCTCGTCACTGGGCGAGTGCTAATTATGTGGTTTGGCTTTTTCTCTCAGCCGCAAAAGAAATTAGAACAAACTTTTGATAAATCACTGAAAGCCACTGATGCTTTCTTAAGCAGATGTATCACTTTGTCAGATGCGCTAAGCACTCGTACTGGAATAAATCCTCTGACCAAAGATTTGTTTGTCAGATCTTGTTCCAGTGGAAAACTCTATGGGAAATACTTCTCTTGTACCCAGACTATAGAATACTGTGGAACAGGCCATGAATACACTCCACACTGCATTGATTTATATTTGCTTTACATTTAGTTACAGCTAAACACTATCATAATTTTAAATTCCATCATAATTACTCATGTTCTATACTTTAACTGTTCCCATAGTGTTGTCTGGAAGCAAAGGCAGCTCAATGAAAATGTTCAGTTTTTATTTCACTTTAGCACCAGTAGATACAGCACAGGGGTGCTTATTGATTTATTTTCTCTACCTTGAATCTAACACAGACAGTTGCGTCACAATCAGGTCTTTTCTACGAGCAAAAACCTGCTGTGGGCCCCACTTGGGGCGAAATGTTATCACACAGCGGTCTGAGGTCTGACGCTCTGACATGATAAAGATGTCTGGGGATTTCCAAGCTGCAGTCGCTCTGTAAATGCAGCTAACTTTAAGATGTACAATGTCAAACTTGCTTGAGCAAAGTACTTTTTTTCAGTTTGCGGGTAAGCACACCGAGATTTTCTCTTCATACAGACACACGGTGTTTATCATTGCTACTCCTGCAGGTCCTTCTTATAATTACACAACAAATGCCTCTGTGCTGGTGCACAGGGAGTGCAGTTCTCTTTGCTAAATGTCAAGACTATTTGCCACTTATTATGATTTGACAGCCAAGAGACCTGCGGTTTGAATGAGACTTGTATTTATCACGGGCTGTCTAGTCAGACCCCCTCGGGGTACCGAGCGCACACAAGAGGCTGCGGAGCATCTCCGTGGCTCCCCGCTCACTATCTACTGTACAAATGTTGCCATCTGCTCCCATCAAAAGAATGCTGTGTGTATGCGCTCGCCTTTCCCAGTCAGTGAACTCATCTGGCTTTTGCCGCAGATCACCCCAGTGGTCGTTTTTGGCTGTCCAAAATAACTTTTTGGGTTGATTATACGCTATCTGCTGCCAGTTCAAATTACAGCTTTGTGCTCAGATTTGGCCCCAAAGAGCCACAGAAACAGCATGGTGTGCACGATGCAAGCACAGTGACAGGGAGAATCGAGGCCAGTGTAACTCACAGCTGCGTGGCTTCCTCGAGCAACTGATAACCAGCAAACATCGCTCTTGTACAGCAAAGGTTTACGTTTTTACTCGTTAAGTTGTCAACTACTCAAAGTGTTTTCTTTCAGATAGCAAAGGAAGGTGAGCCTTTTACATCACACGTATCTCAGCAGACTTTTTAAAAATAACCCAACTGAGACTGGGGGGGATTTTGCGAGTATCCCATCCCATGGTTTAAATAAGGCAAAAGTCTCAGGTATGACAACACAGCAACAAATCCTTTTTGGATTTTTCTGCATGAACATGGTGAGAAAATTAAAGATGACTCACATTAAATGTCAGGCTTAAGAATGTGTGTGTGTTTGAAGCTGTGTTTTCCATTTACCTAATATACTGACGACTGAATCGCTCAATTCAATTTAATTAAATTTTATTTATATAGTGCCAAATCACAACAACAGTCACCTCAAGGCGCTTTATATTGCACAGTAGATCGTACAATAACAAACAACAAGAAAGCTAAGGCAAAATTGATGACTCTTGTGTTTTAAGTGAGCAAAGAAACAGCACCATCTGGTGGCCAGTAAAGGTAACCTAACTAATAAAGCTGTTTCATAATCAAATGAATGAAAGACAATGAGAAATGTTTCCTTGTGCATGCGTTTGAGCAAAGAGAAAGTCTCCACCCACTGCTGAGTGAATAAAATAATTGTTAACGGTGCATGTGAGGCAAATTACTGACAGATAAAGCAGCTGTTGTGTGCGGCTGATGGCAGATCAGTTATATCTGTCATGAAGACTTTTGATTCTAACGTTATTTTTTGCTCTGTTGCTAATGACACAGGGGCAGGCTAAGTGTGCGCTTAACCACCTGCTTCCAAGCTATTTCCTATGACATCCACTGAGCTTTTCTGCCAGACTCTCGCATTACCACCTTAATGCTGTGGTTTCCTCTTTGAAAGATTAGTGCGCTGCTGTTATTATTCCCACTAGACGTCTCACACAGATTTTGCTGCATAACTAGGGCTGTGCAGGAAAATGTTGAGGCTGTTCTCATTCTGTTGACTCACTCGTGCCGCAGTCTGCTTTCCGGAGAGCTCAGACTACACAACATAGGCTAACCACCAGCTTTCAGTGAGAGCTGCTGGACACACTGGCAGCATTAGTGCTGCACAAGCGCTCGTCTTACTGGCATCGCCATAGCTACAGCTACTTGTTTGTTGTACAAGGGAGTGTCCTCTCTAAACCACCTAACTATGGTCTGTGGTCACACCACTTCAAATCACACGCTGCAGAACAATGTACACACAGATGCGCTCTCTCAGACTCACACGAGGACCTTACCACCAGTGGAAACGAGCTTTTTTTCCCCACTCTGGCAATAAATCTAACAAATATTTAAATGGTCCAGAAAACATCTGTATTTTCCAGTTGTCCATTAATTCAGCAATTCATCAAAAAGTCAAAAACACAGTCGATGCAGGGTGTGGTGGGACTGACCCAGTTAAACTTCAGTGTACCCCCTAGAAATCTGACAAAGCCATAACTCAACTTCATGACCGGAGAGCCTGGCATGATTTTTTTATGTGTGTGTGGAGTCCAACTAGGCTTTTTTACTGTGTTGCTGCAGGATTTGACCTGATGGAGTATTTCAACGTGAGAGATATTCTGGGAGCCAGAGATGAAGATGGACAAAGTTCATATGTTCGCCTTGGCACCATGCCTATAGTACAAAACACAGAGTAAGTGACCTGCCCATTATGCTTTAAACAGTTCAGCTTGTTTTTGAGCCCTGTCAATGCACATGAAAGTGGCAAAAATGAAGTCTTTGAAGTCTCCAAAAATTCATCCTTTTAAATCTCAGTTCTGGCTGAAAAGGAAATGTTTCCTGCACAACAACTCCAACAATGAGGAGATTCAAAGCCAAACACAACTAAGACCAACTTGCAATACATTATGACACAATCTCATGTGAAACATCATTACCATGTAGCTATATCAATGACATCTTCTGTATATTAACCTTATGGAGTTAGAGTTGATATGTCGCTATCTGAACACAGCCAAATGAAATGTCAGTAAATGTGATAAACAACCACTAGCCATCTACTTAAGTACTAAAGGCACCAATTTAGTCTTTTTTAGACTTATTCCTGACATCCTGAGATCCATAAAGGGATAAAGGGAAGTCATTTTGAAGGCTCAGAATTGGCCAACCAGGAGAACGTGGATGTCTTCTCCCCATTTGTCAAATGTTTTTGTCTCATTAAGTGTTTTCTGTCTGCACTGTTTTTTTTTATATAGGACGCTACAGTAAAAATAAAATTAGCTAACTCTTAAAGCTAAAAATAAATACACCTTAACTAGTATTCTGCTTTGATGGCGCAAATGTCTAAACTAAAGCACCAAAACACAGTTTATGGTGAAGTTTAAACCTTTTTTGTTACTTGTTACTTGGTGGCTAAGCTAGCCTTGTCAATTTTCAGTATTTATGCTAAGCTAACTGTCTGCTACTTGTAGCCATAGAGAGCCTAAAAAATAGGTTTGACTACAGTAACATCCCCCATTGACTTTTGAAGTTCCTTTTGAAGTGTCATGGTGCGCATTTTTACCACCGTGGTGTTTTGAAACAGAAGAACAAGCGCTGGATTTGTGAAAGAATGATTTTGGCTAACAAGGTGTCAATCCCAAATTGTTAACCAGTGAGCATCCTGGCTAATCCTATTCTTTGAAAGGTTTTTCCAGTTTTCAAATTTTACAGAATTCTGAGCTTTTCCTTTATAAATATTAATTCAGATGTGAACAGTTTATTTTATTTTGCTGTTTCTATAAATACACAGGCAACAGTTTGAATATAAGAAGTCAGTGTAAAACTGCTAAGAAGAGCAGAAAGAGTAGCTACAAACACACTGGTTGCTAGGTAAAACACTGGGACTGTGTTTAACCTTATACATTAATATTTCAACTGCTGTACAGCCAATGCAACTGTTGGTTTACCACATCCACTAAAAAGAGAAAAATAAAGCAGTAATAATAATGTACTTTTATTCCACAGAGATGTGTTTCGTCAAGGGCTGCCAGACGAATATGCCTTTGTGACCACATTTAAATTCAGGAAAACCTCGAGGCGTGAAGACTGGTACCTCTGGCAGATTTTTGACAAATATGGAATTCCACAGGTGAGTGAGCCAAATGTAAATAGTGACAAATGTGGCTGTCTCTGCATGTGGCCCAACTTGGAGAATTACATCATCGAATGGGCTCACCTCGCTGACTTCTCTTTTTCATTCCAATATTGTATTTATTTTTGTACATTCATTACTTCCCCCTATGGAAAACAAGCTCCTTTATGTTTCAGTTCACATCCCTGTGCTTCTGACCTGTCAGGTGTCCATCCGTCTAGACGGTGAGAACAAGGCAGTGGAGTACAACGCTGTGGGCCTTACAAAAGATGCTGTGAGGGCTGTGTTCAAAAACCCTGAAGTCGACAACCTGTTTGACCGCAACTGGCACAAGATTGCCCTCAGTGTGGAGTCCAAGTCTGTGTCTCTGTACTTGGATTGCAAGCACATCCAGACGCTGCCGATAGAAGACAGAGAGGACATTGATATCCAGGGGAAGACAGTGATTGGGAAAAGGCTGTATGACAGTGTGCCAATTGATGTGAGTCTTTACCTCCATTTTGGCAACAGTGTGATTCATGTCAGTCAAGGTTATTTTTCTGCAGTTGACCTGTTGTTAATCTGTGTACATACAGTTTGACCTCCAGAGAATGATGATTTACTGCGATTCCAAGCATGCCGAGCTGGAAACCTGCTGTGATCTACCTAATGGGCCTGTAAGTATTACAGGCCAACAGGCCCAGAGTCTGGGTCTTTGCAGTGAAAGCGAAACGCGTCTTTCAGATGCTGCTGCTAAGCCGTGGAGGTTCCTGGTTGCATAGAAATATACATCTACCACAAGATGGGATGCTTTGTGTTTAAAGGAAAGGTTACATCCAAATAATTAAGTTTGCATGAGTGTGTGCCCCCCCCAGCTCAGTTGTAGCTTGAACAGCTAAGCTACTTTGAATAATCAGTGTAGCTTTGTTACTTTGTAACTCTGTACAATACAGCTTTTTCAAACAGCTTTAGAGGAGCAGTTTGACACTCATACACATTTAAGATGAAGTGAAAAAAAAATCCAGATATTTTCCACTTGCTCCTTTGAAATATGATAGAAACAGAAGCAAGCAGTTACTTGCCAATGTGACTAATCAGACCTCCACACGGTGGTATTTATTAGCTGATTAATGGAGTTGACACATTACTTAAAATTGATTTTGTAATAATACACATTAGTGCCACAATCCTCAGAATAAAAACAGAAGTACAGTGGCTCTTTGCCTAACACAGATATACACTATAACGCTAATGAACTGACCCAGACACATCTACCACAGATTTAAAAAATGATTGTCTTTGAATGGGTGGCTGTAGCTCAGGAGGTAGAGCAGGTCACCTACTGATCGGAAGGTCGGTGGTTCAATCCCTGGCTCCTCTAGTCTGCATGTCAAGTATCCTTGGGCAAGATACTAACCCTAACTTGCTCTCCGATGCATCCATCGGAGTATGAATGTCGTTAGAAAGCACTAAGTGTAGATAAAGTCCTTGTGAGAATGGGTGTGATTGGGTGAATGAGGCATGTTGTATAGAGTGCTTTGAGTACTCCGTGAGAGTAGAAAAGCGTTATATAAGAATCAGTCCATTTACCATTTGAAATCTCACCAGCTTACAACTAGTTAATTTTGCTATCTAGGTAATTAAGACACAACTAAACAGCCTATAGGATCTAGCTGAGTACACATAAGTGAATTGTCATGCTAATGTTTAATTCTTGGACTCCACTAGATTAGCTTTGCATGAATCACAAAAGCTCAAAATAGTTCTTATTTATGTTGGTTGCTGGTGCAGCCCCTCAATTCATCCACTGTCTGAAGCTTTTTCTCATTCATTTTTTTCCCACTTCCTTCTCATTGGTTAACCTTCGGAAACACAAGATTTAAACAGTGTGTGCTTGTGACTCTCTATGACATCATACAGAGCCACTTTTGAAATGAAATGTTTCAGAGTTGAGCATCCTGAAGCGTCAGTTTTTAGATCACAGGGATGCCTGCAAACCTTCAAATAGCACTAATATAAACCCAGGAGTGGCACTGATCATCATCAGCTCATCATAAAGGTATAGACCATATAGGTATCATTTCTTCTAAAGCAGGAGCTACTTTAAAAGTTAAAAGTGTGGGTCTGAATAGTTTTAGCCTTAATCAGAGATGCCTGTCTCTTCTATCACAGCATCATGATCCAGTTTTATCAAAATAAATTGCTTCATTTCAGTGCCCTAAGACGGTTGTGACAGAGGCTCCCCCTTACAAGATCCCTACGCCAACACCTACCAGTGCTGAGCAACAACGAGGCCCTCAAGTGAACTGCTCCTGCCCTGCTGGAGAAAAGGTAAAGCCCCGCTGATTTTACCACGCCTAATCCCTCTCTATTATTTCCACGGATGAGTGGGAATCCTTTCTTCAGTGGCTTTCAAAAGACGACTGTGTTTTCATTTCTCACAGGGTCGCATGGGTGCACCCGGTGTTGCAGGTCCTAAGGGTGAAAAGGTCATCTACCACTGCCTTTCAGTTCTATAGTGTTTGTGATAAAGGATTACACTTTCATTATAGTTGTTCGGCTTTATTTTTATTGTGTGAACCTGCCTACTTTTTTCAGGGTGACACTGGCCCTAAGGGTGCTATCGGACCACCTGGACTCAAAGGAGAAAAAGGACAAAGTGTATGAAAACTTAAAAATGTCCACAGTCACATCTTTTTACTTTTAAGATAGCTTCAAACCTTTTGGAGTACAGTGAGGGAAATGATTACTATGCTGAATTTGTAAGATTGCTCACTTTCAAAGAAGGAAAGAGTCATGATTTTTATGTAAACACATTACATAAATGTTATAAAATGATTTCACTGAGTAAAAATAAGCATTTGATCTCTAACCAAAACATAATTTAGTATTTGGTGGAGAAGTGTTGTTGGCAAGCAAGCATTAAGATGTTTCCTGTAGTTGGTCTCCAGGTTTGCACACATCTCAGGAGGGATTTGAACCCATTTCTCTTTACAGAAACTCTCAAAATCATTTAGGTTTCTTGGATACCACTTTGCAACTCAAATGTCCCTCCACAAATTTATAAAATTGAGGTCCGGAGAAGGTCTAAGCCACTCCGTGACCTTAATGTGCTTCTTTCATGACCCATCTTCTGTATTCTGGCTGATGGAAGGAGGTTCTCATTCAAGATTCAAGTCTTCCTGTACAGTGCAGTGCAAAAGCATTATGTTGCCACTTGAGTGTTTGACATACTCAGCATTTCTCTTCCTTCAGTTGGGTCGAGTTGTTGCCAAAGAGTTTGAGTTTAGTTTCGTCTGACCACAGCGTTTTCTCCAGAACCTCCTTTTGAATCATTTAAATGTTACCAGTGACTGTTGTCCCAGCCACCGTCTGATCAATAACAAGCTCCTCATGTGTAGTTTTAGGCTGATCCACCACCTTTCTCATGATCATCCTCACCCCATCAGGTAAGATCTTACATAGAGCGTGACGGACAGCTCTGTGGTCTTGCCTGTGTTGGTGAAGAGGTTGGATTGGAAAAAACTGATTGCCACATGGGCACACAGACAAACTTTAGAGGATCAAATACTTATTTCAGCACAAAAATCCTTCATTTCTATGATCGGAGCAAATTTACAAATCCAATAATTATTTCCCCCACTGTAAATAAACTAGTCTTGGTCACGTCACATGCTATGCTTTCAAGCTTTCTTGCTTTTCTTTCAGCCTCGATAATAATTAATCCTTATTGGTTAATTATTTGCAGGGCAGTATAAACTCTGTCAAAGGTGGCAGAGGTGAGAAGGTAAGTAAACCTGTCCTTCACAACTCTGCATGAGCATCATCTTAACCCAGATACATGTTTGTCTGTGTATTGTGCATATTTTATATGCATGTAGACAAAATGTTCTAATCTGCTCCTTCAGATCTTTTTTATTCAAGTCTTTCTTGCTATCTCGCTTTTTGGCTTTGCCTTTTTTTCTATATGTTTTTTCCTGGGAGTGTCTAGGAACCTGCTCATACATCTCTTATTGTCAGAGTAACAGATGTATGAATTATAGGACAGGTTACCACAGAGGATATGTAGCAGGGAGCCAGTGCAGACGCCCACCCAGTCTGCACAAATCACAGCCTCTGTGCTGCCTTCCAGTGCCAGCCGGGAGTCCCACAATGTAATTTATTCCCTGAAACAAACTTCTCAGTATTCACCTCTCACACTGCACTGAAAGGGACACTTAAAAATGCCCAAGAGATCTAAAAGACGAGAAGTGTTATCCTGGTAGTTTTGAGAACACACCTGTAAATTCTTCTGGATAATACAGGTGCACTACAGGGGGGCAGTGCAGTCAGAGCGACAGCAAAAGTCATTTCATGATACATTTATTTGACTTTTTCTACTTGTTATAGCTGAAAAAAGAAAAACTTGCAGGTTTGATAAAACGCGCATTAAATCGAACTTTAATGCGCCTTGCTGCTTTTTCTGTTTCTTACTGCGCAAGCATCTGTCTTCACTTTCTCCATGGGAAGGCTGCAATTTGCTGCTTTTCGAAACCTGATGCAAACACGTGACGTAAACTGACTTTAAGCTGCGGTTCAAAGTGGCTGAGCTGGTCATCGAGTCTCCCTGAGCACGTGGCGGGGGAGCGAAATCAAAACTGGTTTAATTGCTCCCTGTGCAGCACTCTTCTTATGGATCATGTCTTTTTGCCATGGGGTGCAGCAGAACAGGAGTCCCTTTTGCTGATCTAAAGGACGTGTGCTAATATGATATAAGCCTGAAATAATTAAAGGGCAACCTCCTGTGACTTGTAAAGTGGTTTATGAAGCAGAGGGAAGTCTTGCGGTGGGTGAGACCTCATGGTACCGTGTAATTTAACAGCCATTACTTTTTGCTCAGACGCGGGATTCCTTGGCACAGAAGATGACATCAGTGTACAAACCAAACGTGTGATGCTCTGAGGACAATGGGAAGCCATTGTTCCTTGAGTCTTTGGTCGAATGTGCGACCAAACCATAGCGGGTCTTGGTGAAGCTGTAAGGATATTCTGGCTCCCGAACCTTTACTCAAAAGTGTTTTGTTTGTCTCGGTTTATGTGAGTCTTTGTGTTCTGTGTATAACTTTTAACTTTGTGTGTTACTGTGTGTGCAGTGATAATACATCTCCTGTTCTTTGTGTTTAATTGACTGTCCATCCATCGGGTACTAAACCATGTTCTGTGATACTGCTGGGTTGATTTTTTTGACAGCACGTCACCGCCGCCTGTCCCGGCCCCCCTGCATGCCTTACTGTGACTGAACTATAGACGTTAACGCTTGTTTTGTATTCACAGGGTGATAGAGGCAGCATAGGGTTGACAGGTCCTCCTGGACAAAAAGGAGAGAAGGTGTGAACCTGGAGACCTGGAGTTCTTTTGACTTTTATTTAGAGTTTTAAACGGCGCCAAACTGGTACTGATTGTGTGTTTTCAACCATCTCACAGGGAGTTGGTGGAATCCCAGGCATTGATGGTTTAACTGGAGACAAAGGCGACACAGTAAGAAGCAAACTTATACAGCTATGGTGTTACCTTTATTTTTATACCGTATATCAAAATTTACAGTATTAAATATATATGCATATTTAAAAAAAATAAAAAAGATGTTTAGAAAAAGGCATTTACTGATTTTCTTTCATGAAATAACAGGTGTTCTTAATGGTGTATTTATATTTTATTCATCATATCCAAGTGTCCAAACAAAACAGTTTTTGTTTGGACACTTGGATATGATTTTTTTCACAGTATTTTTTCTCAATACTCATTATATCATCCCTTGTTTATTTTGCCAAACATATTTTCCAACTCTTCTTCCTGTTTTAACTTTATTGTATTTTATTTATCAGATTTTATGAGGATAAAATATAAAAACAAAAGCAGTTGTTTTTTTTATTTTATCCTCATAAAAGCTGATAGATAAATGTTTCACTATTTCTTTCCATTATATTTCAAAAGTAGATGAGGATTCTATGTGACAGCTTTCTGTTTTATTTTGAAATAACGTCTTATTGGCATGTATTTATAACACTATTTGGTAAAACTGTAACAATTATAAATTTTCAAAGAAATCGTCTAACTTTGTGACCTTTGTTTTCTATTCCTTTTCAAAACACAGACGTTGTGACTGTGCAAATGTTGTTGTTTTTTTCATAATCAGGGTGAAGCAGGACTGGCTGGTGATCCAGGGCTACCAGGTCCAGCTGGACCGAGGGTGGGTGAATGTGGTTTACCAGCTTTTAATCCATTCACGAGCGACTGCACATGCACATGCAGTTTTGAAAAGGTCTCAAATAAATTTCAGGCCATATAAAAAAGGAAAAAACTTAAGCTATTCTGGTTTTGGCATCAATCTCAGAGAGGCACTTGTTCTGTTAAGTGAGTGTACATAAGTTTTTTTGAACAATTTCCTCTCAAGCTGAGAGTTTGGGTGACTTTCTCTTGGATGAAGCTGCAGCATCTGGTGAGGGAGTCAGGCAGATGGGAGTATGGGTGCGGGCTCAAGCTGGGCCACTGGCCTGTGACAGACTGCCCAAGACTGAAGCGAACGAGCATCACTGCACAGGATATACGAGATTATTAAAAAAACAGTGAACACCTCCTAGGACTGGCTCAGTTCATAAATAAACATTTTTACTGCTGCTTCATAGCTTTACGAACTTTGAGGCTGGACTATATATTTTGTTATTATCAGGCTGCTCTACAGTGTTGGGAATACATTACTAATGAGAGTAACGTATTGTGAATACTTTGGATTACTTAATATATTATCATGCTTTTTTTACAACTACATGAATGTACTCTAATGTTACTCACCATGCCAATAGCAACTAGATTTTTAAATCTTAATATAAAATGAGTAACAGTAGAGTGGGCATTAGGTAAGGCTGCACTTTTAGCAGCGATCTCGTATAGAAAACTATTCAGCGCGTATATAAAACAGGTCCCTTTACTCTGAACCGTAGTAAAGGGACCTCTGGCTAATACGTCGGTTCCATGTCGGGCTCGTAGCTGAAAACTAGCTTTACTTTGTTGTCTGGGTCAACTTTGCTAGCAAGAGACAGAGAGAGGCTTTGAAAGGCTGCTCCAACAGAACTTATTGTGTCGGAGGAAAACACAAACACAGTGTACAGTCGAGTCTTAATAACTTACAACAGCTGCGTCCATGAGGCTACATTCTTTAGGGCTATGCCTGTAACACTCTGCCTATTGCCTTCATATTAAATTATTCTTTGAATAATAATTTTTAAAAATATTTCTTCACGTCATTATGCGGGCTGCAGGTAGAGGTGACATGGGCTGCGAAATTGAGACACGGGCATTAGAGCCTCTTAATGTGTGTTTTGTTTGGGTTTCCACCGCTGTCGAATTACCAAAAATAGAGCGCGTAATCCATTTATTTCAAGAACGAAGCTGTATTCTGAATACCACCTTTTTAAACAGTAATTGTAACAGAATACAGTTACTCGTATTTTGTATTTTACAGTATTCTGTTACTCCCCAACACTGCTACTCTAAAAGTTCAGTGCACAGCATCCAGTTTATCCAAGATGTCACAGTGAGAGAAATCATACTAGTTTCTGTTCATTGACTTCCTGTTAAGTCCAGTATTAGATTTAAAGGTCTTTACTTACATACAAAGTTCTGAATGAGGGTCCCATAATAGCTCAAGGACCTCATAGTATCATATTATCCCAGCAGAGCACTTTGTCTGTGGGATTACGTGCAGGTCCCAGAGATCTCAAAAGTAAGCAGAGCTATCAGGCTCCTCTGTGGAGCCAGCTTTCAGTTCAGGAGACAGACGCTCTGTCTTCTATTAAGATTTGGCTTCAAACCTTCCTTTCTGATAAAGCTTATCATTAGAGCTTTATCAAAAATGAAGGAAGAAGGTTTGACCCTGAACCATCTGTTCGTTATGGTAATATAGGCTCAGTTTGCCTGGGGACTCCAGCGTGCTGAGCACTTTATTATTTTTTATTGTTTGTTGTTTCTCAGGAAGAAACTTGTGCCTGAGGTTGCTTCCATTTAAATGGACTTCTTCCTTCCTACTGTCACTAATTGCTTCCTCATAGGAGATCATCTGATCATTGAGGTTCTCTCTCTAATTTTGCGAAGGTCTTTCAAGGTTTGATCATGTCACAACATCAACAAAGTTGCTCATTGTAGATGGGTAGCTTGTGGACAGAAGGTCATAAGTCAACATTTAAGGGTTTCTTGGGATAATTTTTATCACTGACAGAAGCTATTTTCTATCTTTTGGAGTTTCAGCCGACCCCAGCGAGCCTCAGTATGCTCGAGTCAGAAATAGTGATGCTTTGGTGGAAGTCAGTAACTTTTATTAATACAAGTATTTGTTTTGTTTATTTCACAGGGTCTTCAAGGGGATGCTGGAATTCCTGGTGCACCAGGGCCAAAAGGTGTCACTGTAAGTATAATCCGAATTAACTTCCACCAAATGATGGTCTGATTTGATGGCAGTATATAGAAATTTATTTCTATAAAAATAATTATGTTGCTTTGGTTTGTTATAGGGTGACTCGGGTACAAAAGGTGAAACGGGAACACCGGGAACCAGGGTAAGTCGTATTAAAACCACTTCGGCTTAGGCTTATGGAGAGGTTGCATTGTATCCACATGCTACAACAAACACAGTTTCAGAAACGAAAAGATTTTACCTTTCACATCTTTCAAAGTGTATTAAATACACTTTAATGACAATTAAAGTTTTCCATTTGGGTAAACTAAATTTGTGAAAATTCCATATAAAGAGGTAGACGTGAACCTGACCAGGTTACCGGCAACCTGATAGAGTTTAAACAGTTGCTTCACTCTTCACATATTCCTGCTTGGGGGCCTCCTGCTACAGCCACTAATCGCTTGGCCACACAGTTCCGCTGCAGCAGATACGAGCGACATCTTTAAAACAGTTGTTGCTGAAGGTCACGAGAGAGTTAGTTCATTTGCTTTCCCAGCATGTCCTGGGATTTGGGCCACGTTTCTAGGTTGAACCTGCGCAGAACACCAGCTCATACTGCAAATCCTGATAACGGGCTTAACTTTTCAGAAAGAGACTTTTCTTCTCAGAGGAACTGAGAACTGAGAGGCGTAATTGTGCAAACAGATGTGGTTTCCTTGATTTACTCTCCACACTTCCTGTCTGGAATTCTGTGGGGGCGTTACAGGATATAATGCACTTCATTCAGGCTCGCTGAAGCTTTGTTGATGTCTTAAGTTTTCTAGGAGCTGTTTGCCATCACACTGAATGTCATTTAGGCTTTTAATAATTCAGTGAAAGGTTATTTCCCTGAATCAACAGTTGTTTTCAGCTATTTAATGCTGCTTCGTGTTGAGTTGTTTTTGTACTCAGTGTTTCTTGTTCAGAGGTCAGCTTCAACTTCAAGCTAAACGTCTTTAACGTGGTTCGAATAAAGAACTGTGCATCAAATCAGTCCACTGATCACTCTGCCGTATGTCATGGGGATGAGTAGCAGGTTCTAAGCACATATAGGCCCATTCAGACAAACTGATGCCCCTTTTAGAGCTGTCCATCAGCTGTTCAGTCAGACAGTAAGCAATTTCCTGTTGCTGAAAAGTGCTGGCAAAGTCCTTACCTCAGTGAAGCGATAAAGGGAATAGGTGGTTTGGAGGAGACACACAGGACTGATTTAAAGTTGTGCTTGCTGACTGAAAAAGCTGTTCTTTATTAAGCACGTCCGTACTAACCACGACTGTGGTTGGTCAGATTCAAACCAAAGCCACTATGTCGAGATATCTAGGAGGCCCGGAGGACATGTTAATAACAAGTCTTATACTTGGTGATGGTGGAGGAACCTGATGGTAGTGTAGACCTTTTATTGAAGGTATTCCTTGATATTGTATATTGCAAGTGAAGAACTTTTTGTATAGGAAGTACTGGATGTAATTTATTATGCAAGTAAATTTGATATTATTAAGCAAAACACATTTTCATGTGTAAGTCAGCATTAACTTGTGTGAAACTGTCCCCAGTATTGTGGCATTTAGCTACAAGAGCTATTGTTCTTTTGTCCTATTATGATTTTATGCTATTATGTTTTTTGTTTCTTATTTCCTTCTTTATTCATTACGCGAAGGTTCTTTTATCTTGGGTTTTGAAGTTTGCCTACATTTTAAAAGAGAAAATGTAATTTTCCCATTTCAGGGTGAGCCAGGTCTTGATGGATTAACTGGAAAGCCTGGCTTTCCTGGGAAGGATGTAAGTGTTGATTTTTGATGGCGACATCAGTCGGTGACACATTTGGTCCGTCACCTTTGTATTAAAAGGTTTTTGTTGCTTATGGTTTTTTTTCTTTTATTGATTAGGGTTTGAGAGGTCTGACTGGAGTACCTGGGCCCAACGGGGTTAAAGGTGACAAGGTACGCCCACCCACTTACCTTTATTGTATTTGGAACACTGTTCACCTGATTACAAGTTGATGATACTGTTGTGTAATGTTGTTAAGTGCTGCTGACATGAGTTCTTTCAAAGACTTATCAAAAGCTTCCCAAGCTACCGTCTGCTCTCTCCAGACATTCCTCAGTCTCCTCTGTGCACCATCAAAGTCTGTCCCCTCATTTGTCTGAGAAACTAAAACGCAGTTCATTTGTCTGTCTGTAATTACCAACTTTGATGATTCCTCCAGTGGAACGCACATGCTTCTACCACACCCAGCTGCACACACACTAATGCACACACAAGCACAAAGAGCTGCCGTGGTTCTTTACCCACAAGTTTCACTTTCTTTTAGCCTGCAGTAAGCATCCGCACAGCTCATCTCATAAATTATGGTTGTCGCTGTGCCGTCATCATATCCCTTAAGGGACTTTGCCCTGAGAGCCTCTTGATTCTAATGATGGGTTTGTCCTTGTTGTGTGACCTATGTCACAGGGGGAGAGAGGTCTTCCCGGATTACCTGGGGATGCGGTAAGTGCCAAAAATACACCAAAGGTACATAAGAATTATACTCTTAAGGATTATAGGTTTGTGTCATGATGAAGATAGCAGGGTTACAGCAGCATGCGTTTAAACCTCACATGTTGCATTTTAACTATTTTTTAATGATTATTGCTATAGACAGAGCAGATCATCAAAGAGTGATCGTCGTGTTTTTAACTGAAGTGTATAAAAAGACAGGAAGCGAGATCACTGTGTCTGTTAGTGAAGTGCAGGACTTTAGCTGAAACTTGACAACACTTGTTATTATATCTAAAAATATAGATTATTTCAGTTGATGGGTTAAAAACAGTTTTAACATCTCTTAATGGGATGAAGAAAATGAGCTTAATAATGACTAATGATGGATATCTTGTTTTCTTTGAGAAAAGAAATTACATCATCACAGTACCTATCAATGAATTTCACAAATCCAAGTGAGGATGTCATTATTTATTCAGTGCTTTAATTTCAGGTACAAACAGAAGGTTTACGGGGTGAGAAGGTGAGCAGTTGTTTAACAGTTTCACTGAAAGCAGATTGTTGCTGCAGCATGAAGATCCAGGCACCAATATAAAAATAACCCTCACAAAATATGCTGTTTATGAATAATTTGGTGTATTTGGTCTCTGGAAAATGTAGCTTTGTGCATGAAAAGTAAGTGAAATATGGCATTTTATGAAAATTGGAATTTTAAAACTAACCAATATTGATATCAGTAAATGGAAATAATGGATTGAAGAGAATATATTAATTTGCTTAATCAAATGCATGATAAACTACCCAACCAAGGATCTCATGTCGGACTCGTGCCTTTATAAGTTTTAAAGTTTAAGCTTGTATTGAAAAGTTTGATGATTCATTTCACTAATTTTTCACTATTACTGTAATAAAACTTGTTTGTTTGACCTGTTTCAGGGTGAGCCTGGACCACAAGGGCCTCCAGGTGCTGAAGGACATCCAGGGCCTCCTGTAAGGATCCTGATTTATTATTTCCTTTCTTCCGCTTTCCTGCTGTTTAACTTTTGATAGTTGCTGTTGTTTGAAAACCCACAATCAGATGCAATGCTCAACAATTTATTAACATGCCAGTTTTGCGGTTTTAATTTTTGGTGATTTATTCCTCAGGGTCCTCCTGGTGAACAAGGTTTACCCGGTAACCCTGGAGAATTTGGCCAGAGGGTAAGAATCTCATTTTGTTGGGAGGGTGTCAGAATATCACCTTACTGTACCGGGGGAGGATCAGTTCACCTGATGATTGTTTTATCTTTGCATCATCTGACTTTCTGTTTCCAGCTCTAACCACAGGACACAGATAGAGCTGTGCCCCATGGTTAGATGTCATGTGAGGAGCAGCGTGTTTCTTTGTTCTTATTACATTGCCAAATTGTATTTTTGGTTTTATGTAACTCAGCAATTTTAAACTAAATTACAGTGGAACTCGGACACATTTTGTTTTTTCACCTTACTTTTGAATATGGCATTGACAGTTTTAGCGACTGAGTGAATACACGTACTTTAAACTCACAGGAAGTGTTTCAGCTTGAAAATGATATTCAGTTCAATTCATTTCAGTTCAAATCTAATTTTTTATGTAGCTCAAAATCACAACAAGTCGTGATGCATTGCTCAGGGGGGGCATCTGATTGTTGCTCTGTGTAGTTGTAGGGTGTTCACCGCGCCTTCAGGTGTCTGTTATGATTTGGTGCAAAATAAATAAAATTGAATTAAACTGAATCTGCTGCAACAGGTTGGGCGTGAGGGAGGGGAGACAACGACAAAAGGGGGGCAATGATGAGGCCTCAGAGGATTAACACCTTCAGGACACAGGCAATCTATCTAGGGTTTGGGTTTGGATCTAGCTAATTCAGGAAGAAACCTCCGGCAGAACCAGGCTCAGGGAGGGGCGGGGCCATGTGCCGCAACCAGTTTGGGTGAGAGAAGGAAGACAGGATAAAGACATGCTGTGGAATAGAGACAGAGATTAATAACAAGTATGATTCAATGCAGAGAGGTCTATTAACACATAGTGAGTGAGAAAGGCGACTGAAGAAAAAACACTCAATGGGAATCCCCCAGCAGACTACACCTGTTGCAGCATAACTAAGGGAGGATTCAAGGTCATCTGACTAAATGCTTTCAGAGGTCTAAGTCATCATCAGTCACGATCCCAATCCTAGCTTTAAACTCAAACCCCAGCCGGATATTTTGGAAAATGAATGAAAAAATGAATTTTTTGCAAAACATACTGAGCAGAATAGCCTCCCTTTTCTTTGATTACTGCTTTGCACACTCTTGGCATTCTCTCGATGAGCTTCATGAGGTCATCACCTCAAATGGTTTTCCAACAGTCTTGAAGGAGTTCTCAGAGATGTTGAGCACTCGTTGGCCCTTTTGCCTTCATTCTGCCTCCATTTCATCCCAAACCATCTTGATTGGGTTTAGGTCAGGTGACTGTAGAGGCCAGGCCATCTGGCACAGCACTCCAGCACTCCCCTCCTTGCTCCAAATAGCCCTTACACAGCCTCAAGTGTGTATATGGCGTCATTGTCCTGTTGAAAAATAAATAATGGTCCGATTAAACGCAAACTGGATGGGATGCATGTCGCTGCAGCATGCTGTGGTAGCCATGCTGGGTCAGTGTGCCTTCAATTTTGTATAAATCCCAACAATGTCACCAGCAAAGCATCCCCACACCATCACACCTCCATGCTTCACGGTGGGAACCATGCATGTAGAGACCATCCGTTCACCTTATCTGCTTCACACAAAGACACGACGGGTGGAACCAGAGATCTCAAACTGGGACTCATCACACCAAAGCGCAGATTTCCATTGATGCAAACAAATCTCTTCTGCTTGTTGCTTTTAATTAATGGTTTCTTAGCAGCTATTTGAGCATAAAGGCCTGATTCACACAGTCTCCTCCGTACAGTTCATGTAGAGATGTGACTGCTACTGGACCTTTGTGTGGCATTTATCTGGGCTCTAATCTAATCTGAGCCTAATTCCGAGGCTGGTGACTCAGATGAATTTATCCCAAACAGCAGAGGTGACTCTTGGGCTTCCTCTCCTGGATCAGTCCTCATGTGAGCCAGTTTCATCATAGCGCTCCATGGTTTTTGCGACTGCACTTGGGGACACATTCAGCGTTTTAGCAATTTTCCAGACAGACTGACCTTCAGTGCTTGAAGTAATGATGGACTGTCGTTTCTCTTTACTTAGCTGATTGGTTCTTGACATAATATGGATTTTAACAGTTGTCAAATAGGGCTGTCAGCTGTGTACCAACCTGACAGAACACAACTGATGGTCCCAGCCCCATTAAGAAGGCAAGATATTCCACAAATGAACCCTTACAAGCCACAGCTGTGAGGTGAAAACCGTTTCAGGTGACTGCATCATGAAGCTCATTGAGAGAAGGTCATGGGTTTGCAGCGCTGTCAACAAAACAAAGGGTGGCTACTTTGAGGAATCTAAAATATAAGACATATTTAGAGTTACTTAATTACGTTTATATATTGCTAGGAAGTAGTAAAAATAAAGACAAATCATTAAACTAGAAGGTGTGTCCAAACTTTACTATAAATCACATACAAATACACTGGTAGTGTACACATATATTCTGATAGAGTAAGGATAGGGTTAAGGTTATGAGCAATGATACATCATGACCAATACTGCATCATTATGATATTCAGTAACATTCACAAATAAACAAACTAACAAACATAAATCAGTAAAAAAATATTTTATGTGATTAATATTACCCTTACCACATTTTGAGAATTTCTTAAAAAGAAATCATTTGCAAAGATTTCATGAGAAAAACTGTAACTTGTATTTTTTGGCTGTTTAGTCCCTAACCTATCATGTTCCAGCTGGATTATTTTGATTTTATATGGAATCAAGAAAGATGCTGTTTATTCTTCATGCTAGTCAGAGCCTATGCTGTAGCTTTTATCAGTGCTCTCTAACAACTCGTCCCATGTGTCTCGTATATTTCTTCCTCTCTCTTTCTCAACACTGGTTCTATTACACAGCAGTTTGTAATTAAAACAGACACAGTAGTTCTACATAATTTGTTCCTCCAAAACATTAACAAAGACATTGACCTCCTCTCCCCTCCCTTCTCTACTGGGAGCAATGAACTTCTTATCAGCAGTATGTGACTTTGTCATTGCTCAGCTGGGTAACACAGTCAAGCCAAACCTTGTCAAAAGACAAACGCTCTACCTCCAAAATATTTATGCTTAAACAGCATTAATAAAACAGCCACACTGGGTTTATGTTTCAGAATATGTTGAAAACATCCCTCCATGTAGCCTTGCTTTTTTTTATGATATCAGTGGAAGTCCTGCTGAAGTACTTTGCAGCTTCATGGGGTACTTTCCAAGAGAGTCATGCAGAAAAACAGACTGTGAGAAGTTTGACCTATTTTTTTTCTTCAGGTTTTGGATTGTTAAACCCACTCTGAAGATTCACAGGGAGACAGTCTGTGTGTGTGTGTGTGTGTGTGTGTGTGTGTGTGTGTGTGTGTGTGTGTGTGTGGAGGTGAGGGAGTTAAAGCTAGGCTCTGAGCTGTGATAATGGATTGGCCTCCACTATTGCCAGTGCTAATAGAGTTGGCCATATGGTTGAGTAGGTATAGATTGAGCTGCTTTCACCTCCACTGCTGAAAAGCAGTCATCAGTTGTCTGGTTTCAGTGCTGCTGAGTCCTGTTTCTTCACCTTTATCCTTATATGATCGCTGATTGAAGCCTGGAATGCTGACTGACTATCTTAAAGGACTGAAGAGGATTACGTCAACAAACTTCTTAAGAAAAATCTGGCAGCATGTAGTTTTATGTGAAAGCAAGAGAAATAACAGCAATCATCACAAAAGGCTTTTAAAAAAAAAAAAGATTAAAACAGTAAAGTTTTGTGAAAAATTATTCTACATAGTGAGAATAATGATATTTCATTAATAAATCATGAAGTAAATGTGTGATTTAAGTATAATTTGACCATAGCTTTAATGGGAAAATGTGAGTTGCCCCAAAACTAATGTTTCTCAGTTACACCATCGGTCTTCTTCCACTTATCATCATCAGGGTGTGTGGGGCCTGTTTTAGCTATGACAGGGCAATAGGCGTGGTACACCCTGGATGGTCACTAGTCTAACACATAAAGACAGAGAACCATTCACACTCACATTCACATCTATGAGCAATTTGGAATCACCAATTAACAGAACCACACTAACTGCATGTCTTTGTGCTGGTCAGAGCCTATCTGGAAAGACTCTGACCAGATGGTGGAGTCAAACTCAGGCACTTCTTGCAGTGAGGCCACTACGCCACCGTGCTGCCCTACACATAACAGCTAGAACCCATAACAATTTTACATCTTGGTTTTGTTAATACAAACATACCTTCTAGACAGCGCTGGGGTCATTACCTAGTAAAAGTAATGTATTACACATGTTACTTTTCTTAAAAGTAATGCTGTACGTTACTCATTTACTCCCAGAAAAGGTAATTTGTTACACTCCTTCTTGTTACTCCATAAAATAATCTTAAATAATATTCTTTTATTGTTACATTAATTATTTCTTATTAAATGTAATGTCCATATCTCCTCTGTAGACCTATCCATCATTTTCTTACAAAGTGAAATCAGCTGACTGTATCCCAATGTTTGTTTAAATTGTATTTTTTTCTTTCTGTATGCCTGGCATGCCGATAACTGAAAATCCTGTAGAATGCAGCTAATGACGTAATTGTAACTGGAATGCAATTTCTGAATTTAGTACAGTAATGTGTTAAATTAATCAAATTGTTACATTGTTACATTTAACACGTTACTTTTTACACTTTTTTTACACCCAACATGACTATGAGATTTTACCTATCTACAGCGATATGGCCCAAAGTAAAGTCAGTTCAATTCAATTTTATTTATACAGCGCTAAATGACAACATCAAGGCGCTTTATATTGTAAGGTAGACACTACAATAATACATACAGAGAAAAACCCCCTATGAGCAAGCACTTTGGCGACAGTGGGAAGGAAAAACTCCCTTTTAACAGGAAGAAACCTCCAGCAGAACCAGGCTCAGGGAGGGGCGGGGTCATCTGCCGCGACTGGTTGGGGAGAGAGAAGTGAAATGAAAGGCTGTCTACTGGATTAGTGTTGCTCAACCTTCCCACATAAAAGCAGATGGATACACTAATGTTTAAGGAACAGCTTCTCAACTTGTAAAATGAGACCATCAGAGGAGCATAGGCAGAGACGACATCATTGTCATCAGCAGCTTACTGAAGTTTAACCAAAATCTCTGAGCTTTCTATTTTCCCTGTAATATTTACCAAGTTTATCATTTCTAGAAAGCGTCACAAATGAAAGAGGCTCGACTAAAATATTCCCATTTTTATTTCCCAGTTTTATGGTCTGAAAGCTGTTTTCAAGATTGCTGTGTTTGAAGAATAGCTCAGAGTACTGCACTCTGAACTCCAAAGTTTCTAAACCCCTCAGTAGCAAATATAAGCTCACATTTCTCAGATGTTACTAAGACAATTGTGTGCTGATTATTTTATTATTGTTACCATTTGTTCATGTCATTGTTCTATTTATACTGTTATCTTATAGGGAAGGAAAGGTGAAGGTGGACTCCCAGGGGTGGATGGCCTTCCTGGACCTGCTGTAAGAACAATTTGGATTTTGCAGCATGCACGAGAGATGTGCAGACCGAATGTATTTACCCATGTGTAAATTCTAGTAAAAATACAGCATTATTATAAAAACAAAGCTACAAAAAGTTGTAATAGTATAAAAGATGAACGTAGCTACAGTGATGGTGTGTGAAGTCCCATTCTGAAGCCCTGAGATGGGTCTGACAATGAGCACATCCTGGAAAAATCTCCTATCTGACACTGACTGAATGACGGAAATGAATGAGCAAATGGACGACTATGTAAATATAAGTACACTTCTAAGCTTTTTTGTAACCACAGCTATCGCCCCCTGGTGGCCCTTTAAAAAGAAATTTTTAGACGTGGACCATCTTCTATACTGTCTGTGAATGCAATACATTTTTTAAACAAATATATATTACTTTACAAAAAATTACTAGAAATGAACTTCCATATTGGTATTTTAATACAGCATTCATATGCTGTATTAAAATACGTGTAAATTTCCCCCATTCTAAATAATCCTGACAAAATGTTGCCTCATTTTGTACAATTTCAATTCCTACTCTATTTTCAACAATTGCAATAATGCAAATATGAAGTAGTGTCTATAAAAAAGTCTTGAGATTAGCATCATTTTGATTTGTTGGTGAGCCATCGCTCTCTGGTGGACAGGACTCGGTGCTGGATGAAACATGTCCATTGAGACTGCCGTACTAACCAAATCTTCTTTTTCAGCCAGTACATATTAACCCTACTTGTATTCATGGATGAGACCAGCCAGCATTACCTCGACCCTAACAGTTACATGTGAGCAGCATAGAGGCTCACAAAAAAGCAGCATCCCACCGGGCTTTCCTTAAATGAGTCCCAAGTTTCTAGCTCATACAGTCTTTAAAAATAACATGGAAAACAAAAATCACAATATGTTGGGAAAAGCATCTTTTGTTTATGTTGCTTTGGAAAAACGTAACACTCATTTTAAGTTGCCATAGCATCATCCTCTATGTAGCTCTGTTTACATTGATGTGTTGTTTATGAACATCTTATGTCAGTGCTTCCTGTAATGCCCCGATGACCTCTCACGGAGAACTGAGGAGGAATAATTTGCTATTTAAATTATGTGGGCTGCTCAATATTTGTTGTGGTCCACAAAGCACAAAATTGCTGCAGTGCTCTCAAAGGTCTCTTCATTGTATGTTTTAATAGAGAGAAAATAAACAGGCTAAATTAAAGCCAACAGGTTATACCAATTAATTTCCCAAATTGCTCCCTGTAGCCAAACAGGCATGTCCCCTGTGTTCAAGCACTAGCCAAGGTTGAATTGGTGGTAAACTGTGCTGCAATACTCCCCTCTAGTGGCTGCTTGGCGCTAATGATTTGAACTTTGCCTTCTGGAAAACCATATGATTAAAATTTAAAATGAATTCAAATTTAGAGATTTAGAGAAAAGAAAACAAGGTCTTGGCACATTGCCCGATCTATTTCATTAAACACCTAAATAACTGTGTATATGATCAAGTCAACTTTTTCCAGACGTTTTAAAAATTATTTTTCAGGGTCCTCAGGGTCCACCTGGACCACCAGGAAACCAAGGAAACACTGGACCTCCTGTAAGTGACTGACATTTAGAAAGGAAAGTCTTTATTTTTGCTCATAAGATTTAGCAGTGAAGGAAGATTTGCTTCAAAACATGATGAGATGCCTTTGTGTTTTTTCTCTCACCGGAAGGGTCTGCCAGGTGAAATTGGATTTCCAGGCAAACAGGGAGAGGCTGGAAAACCTGTGAGTTAACCTTTTGAGGGCTTAAATAAAAACTTCATGCTGGTACTTATAATGCCAAGTGTTTGTTGGTAGTTCCTCTGTGTGTGTCGCCGAACGTCAGCATCTGGTGTCTGATTTTCAAAGGGTATTCCTGGTAAAGATGGCCTGGATGGTGTTCCTGGAAGTGACGGTGCCATGGTGAGTGAAACTTTTAGATTTGCCTACGATGAACAAACGTTAAAGGTGTGCTAATCAAAATGGTTACGGTTAGCTTATTGTTTGTTTCACAATTCCAAACGTTTTTATGTTTTGTTCCTTCTCACTCTGCAGATCAGCCTTGTTTCCAGCAGCAGATTAGACATTTACAGTTAGAAACTTTAGAAACTTGCTAACTGATAAAGCAAATAGCTAATGAGCAGTTTTTGGCATTCAAACTATTAAGTAAGGAAGTAAGTAAAACTTTATTTGTATATCACTTTGCCACAGTGGCAAAAGCTCTGTCTCCTTTGGTTCTCAGCCTTGTATGATGCATGACAAGTAGACCCTGATTACATGACCTAAGAGACCTGCTGGGGACATAGGGATGTAGAAGTTCAATGACGTAGGCAGGTGCTTGTCCATGAAGAGCTCTATAAGTCAGTACCAGAATCTTGAAATGGACTCTGAATTCAATGGGGAGCCAGTGCAGCTGTATGAGCAACAGTGTCACGTGTGATTACTTAGATGTTTCGGTCAGAAGTCTTGCTGCAGCGTTTTGAACAATCTGTAGACGCTCCAAAGAGTTTTTGTTTAAACATGTAAACAGTGAATTACAGCAGTCCAGTCGTGATGAAATGAAAGCATGAATGACAATCTCCAGTTCAGTGAGAGATACAATAGGGCTTAGTTTAGAAATGTTCCTTAAGTGATAAAAACAGGACCAAACCAGAGATTTGACGTGAACATCCAGAGTGAGAGCCAGGTCAAAAATGACCCCTAGGGTCCTGATAGACGATTTCACAAATGTTGCAAGGGGACCAAGAGCATTCATTATCTTAGGCACGTGTCTATCAGGGGCACATACAAGGACAGTCTTTCCTTCTTCAAGTTGGAGGAAGTTGTCAGCCATCCAAACGTTAATGGAATCTAAGCACTCATTCAAAATCTGTAGCTTAGAAACATCTTGGCTTAAAAGAAACTGGATATCGTCTGCGTAGACATGCTGAAGGGGAAGTAGATATGTTAAGAACAATAAAGAACAATAAACTCTGAGTCTATTTGTGAGGAATTTGTGAAAAAATAACAAATCTTGAGAGGTTTTATTTGGTAAATACTTGTGCCAACACAAAAAGCTTCAGAGAAATACCAATGTTGCTTTTTGTCCGCTAGAATTGAAAACTAGACAACTCTTTGCTAACATGTTAGTAATTTCATCTACGTAAGGCCAGACATGAATAATAGTCTTAATGTATGTTAGTCATACTTTTGTGGTGTTCTTCCACGTAATCTCTGAAGAAAAAAAACCTTTACATGTATTCACTGTGACCCCTTAATGTTGGTGAGTCTCTAAGCTACAAGCTAGCAACAAGGAAGGGTTTTGGTTCTCAGGCTTTTACCATTTTACCATTTCTTTCAGGTAATTATGAACCAAGTTTGAGTGTCAGCATAACTAAACCACAGAATATACTGGAAAAAAATCTTGGAGCATATATTCTTAACTGATATAAGTAAAGATAATTTTCCATTTAGCCTTCAGGATATACGCTATATTGACAAAAATATTAGCCCACACTTCAGGTGTTTCCAGTCGCATTGGCACAGGTGTATAAAGTCAAGCCATGCATGCAGTAATGGAGTCTGCCTTTGCAAACATTTGTGAAAGAATATA